TTCTTCTATTCGCATTGACTTCTTTATGCCTTGGGCTCTCCCTGGATGGTGGCGACGAGCCGGCGCTGGTGCCTGCTGGCTCTGAACTCCAGGTACCAGATTCCTTGCCACGTTCCTGTAGCCTGTCCAGAGTGAGCAAAGGTTGCGATTGGAGATCTGCTTCACTTACGAGTCTGCCGTCCTTGATGGGGATGGTGACGCTTGCGCCCACCAGAGCGCTCTTGATGTGAGCCTACGTCATATTAGCAACTGCCCAGACGATAAGACCAAAGCCAACTCACGGGCATGTCATCAGGGCCCTCGGCGCTGTGACGGTACAGCTCCTGTCCCTTGGGGCCGGCCTCGGGTGCGATGCGGTCCAGCGCGTCGCTCATGTCGGCCCGGACATCGTCGTCCCAGTTCTCGTTGAGGCTGAGGGCGCAGCTCGTATGCTGCACAAACAGGTGCAGAATGCCGACCTTGTAGTTCTTAAGCTCGGGAAGCTGGCTCACGACCTCGTCAGTGATGAGGTAGGAGCCGCGGGAGCGCGCGGGTAGCGTGAACTGCTTCTGGAACCAAGAGCCCGTCATTGTCGCTGATGGTGAGGTATGACGTGGGGTTGACCTGCGCGGCGTGGAAGATGCGAAGCCCAGGAGCGTGAGGGGAAGCTGCCAGAGAAAGTGGAATAGATTGGGAAAGAGGCAGATGATCAGGAAGACGAGGATAAGTAGGGTTGTTGTCGAGGAGAGGTGTTGGCGGTTTTGTGGTGTCGGAGACATGGTTGCTGCGGTGCTTGGAGATGAAAATGGTCCAATCTGGTGGGGCAGGGTCGATGGGTATGTGAGGTCAGATGAATTGCGAATCAAGGCACTTTGATACGCACAGAACCGATGAGAGGTGCAACGCCAACTTCCAACTTCGAGGTTTCCAGGGTGCCATGAATTTCTATTTGCATTTTCGATAACATTGACTGATTAATCAATTAACGATACGGTCGGCCTGTCATCATATACGAGACGAGAGACGGTTGCAGATTTATCTGCATGGCCATCCACAGTCACTATTCAACACTTGTGGTCCATATCTGAACGACTAAACTGACGGATGCGTTAAGGCCAGCACTTGATGCTCTCTCTGTTACTTTCTCTTGCATTTCGTGGTAGACGTATCGTCGTTCATCGCTCACGAATGAGTCAGAATTGGATTGGCCGACTTTTCGGTCGCTTGTGCAACGCTTCCCATTCGACACGCCGGCCCCCCTGTCCTTCATTGGTTATGCTGCGGTCAACTTTTGGTCACACGTGTCTAGCTCCTGTTGAAATGTAAAAGGTTGTCCGAAGCACTGATTCTGCTATGTTTACAAACATCGTCATGCCGTTCTATAGCATACGGCTGACGCTACTTTCGTTACAGTCCCATCGCTGTCCTCTCCCGCATGTTGTCCAGCACTTCTCTATGCAAGGGGGTAGGAGGTCTCGGGGAGGGACTCGAGGTGCTTGCGGTGGTGCTCGTTGGCCTGCAATCAGTTAGCCAATGCCTCTAAATGACTGCCCTTCCCGTTTTTAAAGATGGAGGTCCAAACATACGTAAGGCAGACCGCAGTAGTTGCAGGAAGCGATCTCGGGCTTGTCGGTGTTGATGAAGATTCTGGGGTGGCCGGCGGGACCGCCGCCTCCGTCGCACGCAACGATGCGCTTGTGTGTCCAGGTAACGGGCTGCTCGTGGATAAGCTCCATCGCGGAGTACGGTTGTGGCTGCGACCAATTGGTTAGCCCCTCTCCTTCGACGCCGTCGTCGACTGCAGGTGTCTCATCGTCTCACCTGGAGGTTGAAGTCCGTCTGCTCGAATCGGGGACCGGTCATGGCCTTGGCTCTGGGCTGCTGGCTGCGCGACCAGATGAGGGATCGGTTGGGGGCCTGGCCGACCTCTTGCGGAACGGTGGTCTCGGCCGTCTGGGGGGTAGCGGCTTCGTTCTTCTCGACGACGGCGGGTCTCTCGGTGGTGCGGGCGGCCGCGGACACGGTGAAGGGGCGCGAGGCAACGCGGAGCTGCCGCGACAGGGCGCTCGTCGCTCGTCTGGATGCCGACAACATGATGCTGGCTCAATTGGGTGTTTCGTTCGAAGGGGTCGGGCGGTTCCGGCTCACCAGATAGTCGATTTCTGGGGAAGCTTGGAGTTCCTGAAGCAATTGATTACACCTGCTGTCATTCGTCGGGAAGAATTAAACCCCGCTAGCCGAGGTGAGTGGTGCTCCACTTCGGTGTGTTCGGTGAGACGTTCCACCATCTTATCGGCCACGATTGGCACGGATTGTTCAACGCGTCCCTTTCCTAACCGACCGTCTCCAACTTGGAGCTCTCTACGAGCCTGAGTTCAATCAAGTTGATTGACCAAAGCTTCTTCTTCCGGAGACGACCATCTCTATGCTTCCCGCAGGCAGTTCTCAGCCTCATGTGACAAGCAGCCGGCCAGCACCCGTGGCCAGAGCCAACACAACAGCCTGCATCCGCTGCCGGCAGAAAAAGAAGCGATGCGACCAAAAGCTGCCAGTATGCATTTCATCCTTTTCGAGTGTCTAATCTAGTCATACACGTAAGGGATCTGACGATCGCGTAGAGATGTCGCCTGTGTGAGCTTGCTGGGGTCGAGTGTTTCGGTTACGACGCCGTAGCCAGGAGACAAGTTCCTCGAAGGTTGGGTCCGAAAGACGTCTTTTTGTGTGACTACTCACACCTTTCCGTGCAGCTACATCCACAGCCTTGAAGATCGTGTTGCGTATCTCGAGTTGAAGCTTAGGGAACATGGCATTGACTACGAAGACGGAGCAACCCCTGTCCAGGAGACTTCGTTGCCTACTCAGCATACGCCAAGGCTTTCGGCGTCTGTTGTGAATGAAAGAAATGGAGACTTCAATACACCAAATGGAGGCCATGCTGAGATCAACGCTTCCTCGAGGGTGACAATTCAGCCTATCATCCCCCAAATCCAAGTCGGCGCCGAACATGAAGCCTCCTTCACTCACATTCTCATGAGAGAACTCATGAGCTCACGGCTGGCACCGCAATTGCACAGGAGTCAAGCTTCTGGTCCTGGCCATCAGAGGCAGCAAAACTCCTCCGATATTGCGGGTGATTTGGACACCAGCCCTCTCTCACTGCCAACGAGACAGATAGCGGAGAATCTCGTCAAAGAGTACTTCCAATCTACGAGTGCTGGTATGCCGTTGCTGCACGAGCCCACCTTCAGAAAGAAGCTCGATCTCATCTCCGATATGCCTCGAGTGGTCGACATGGCCGAAGACCACAAAACCACAGAGTCAAGACTTGCTCTTTTCTTCGTGCTCGAAGTTTTTGCTGCGGCGCTCCTATCAATGTCCAAGAATGATCCTGCGAGAATACCAATATGGCTGGCAGATCGTTATCACAAAACTGCCATCGTAGCTCTCATTGAAGCCGGTCTGCCGGCCGACGTCGAAGGTGTTCAGGCTCTTCTTCTCGTTGGGCAGTTTTACTATCTACATCCAACCCTATGGGTTGTCTGGAATACAGTCGGTGCTGCTATCCGTCTTGCGGTAGAGCTGGGCCTGCACCAAGATCCGTCCCCCGAAGATGTGGACGCTCTCACACTCGACACCAGGAGGCGAACATTCTGGGTAGCATACGCGATGGATCGCAACATCTCGGTGGCACTCAATATGCCGTCCTGTCTTTCAGACGGTGCAATCGACGTCGAGGTAAGCCCAGTCCTGCAATCTACAAGAATGCGAGCTCATGGACATGAAGTTCCCTAGCGATCTCAACGACGAGCTCATCACCATAGACGGCATTAGGCAGGGTGAGGCGCACAAGTCAGGAGCCAAGCTAGTCAGCCTACATCTCTTTCGGTACCGCCAGATCCAGTCCGAAATGCAGCGAGTTCTCTACGAGAAGCCATCGTCTCCGTATTCCCCCGTCCCGATGGACGACTGGCAGCCAAAGATGCGCGACCGTATCGACGAGTGGCTTCGAAACATCCCCGCGGGAGACAGCTTGAACAGCCTCGATAAGACCGTCATTGAAACCTTTGAGCTGACCCATCACACGGCGTTGTTTCGCCTTTATCGCCCCTCTCCAAACAATCCCAACCCACCAGGCATTCAATTACTAGCCGCCACCCAGTCAGCCACGAAGATGATCCATCTATACCGGGAATTCTTCCGCAGGAAGAGATTGACCATCTACTGGCAGTCTGTGGAGAACGTTTTCTCTGCCGGGACAACTCTGTTGTTCGCGTACACCAATTCCGCCGAAGTGAGGGAGGCGATCAGCTCCCAGTCCTTCCAGTCTCTTGTCAACACATGCTCTTCCGTACTATGGGGGATGGTGGAACATTTTCCAGCATTTCAAGGCAAACGAGATGCCTTCGATACTGCTTCATCGAGGGTCATGATGGAATTGTCGCACGGCGTCACTGCGGGCGAATCTGGGCTGATCGCTTCCTCTTCTGCAATTGACGCGGACCACGAAGTCCAACAGACACGATTAGCTTCGCTGGAGACGATTGACTCAACCAACTTCGACATGTCATCTACGAGTCTTTTGGACTTTGATGATCTATCCATGATCTGGGAAGCCACAGCTGACTTGAGTGGGACTTTCATGCCGTCCTGGGTGTGAAATGGCCATGTTGCGAGGACATCGACGAGTATGTTTTTCAAATCTTTGCCAGCAAGTTCTTCAAGATCAATCAGATAGAAACCATGCGAAGTAAAAATTGGAGAGGGCAGGCTGAAATGTTGAGAAACGTGGTCCAATCATCCATGACTTACTGCCATGCAACCCGTTAGTTTTCAGCAGAGGCTCAGGCTCGCCTCAATCCCTTCTCATTGGTCGCCTGATTTCTCTCGAGCTCTTCTACGGATGTATCTTCACATGGAGTGTGTGTCCCTTACTATCCAAAATCAACATCGCCATCCTAATTTCGCTGGCTCTCAAACGTCTTGGCCGCTTTTACGACAAGCTCTCAATTTACGCACATATTATGAAGGGCCCCACGGGTACTTTGAAAGTTGAATTTCGCAACGGAGTGGACTCGTCCGGCGAGGCTCCAATAAGCCGTGATACTGACCACTCGATCAACGATGATGCACCATATACCATAGGATGGATATGCGCTCTGCCGCTGGAGCAGACGGCAGCCATAGCGATGCTTGACGAGATTCATGACAATATACAGGTCTCTAAGGCACTCAACGACTGTAATACCTATACGCTGGGCTCCATTGGCAAACATAATGTTGTCGTAGCCTGCCTACCGAAGGGTCAGATGGGAACGGTGTCAGCAGCAACAGTCGCAACACGCATGGTCTCAACATTCCCATCCATCAAAATTGGACTTTTGGTTGGGATTGGGGGCGGTGTGCCGCCTACAGTCAGGTTGGGCGATGTTGTCGTCAGCACTCCCACTACGAACTCTCCGGGAGTGGTTCAGTGGGACTTTGGGAAAACGAGATCTACCGACAATGGCAAGGCCACGGAGTTTGAACGAATTGGGGTACTCAACAAGCCTCCAACTTGCCTGCTCACGGCAATCTCCAAGCTTGAGTCTCTTCATGCCCTGCGTGGCTCGCAGATTCAGAAATACCTGGATGAAATGGGAAACAGGTGGCCTCGCCTTCTTCCCAAGTACGCAAGGTCTGCCGTCCTTCATCGGGACTTCCTGTTCTCAGCGAGCTACTGCCACGTAGGCGAGAAGCTAGAAGATGCGAACGCTCAGGGCTCAGGCTGTGAGGATGGTCACATAGCGAGCTCTTTCACATTGGTAGGTTCAGCTTGCCGATCCTGCGATCCAAAGAAAGCCGACGAGAGAAACCATGAAGGCGACATTCAAATCCACTATGGCCTTGTCGCTTCGGGCAACCAAGTAATCAAGGATGCCATTTCTCGAGACAGGCTGAACAAACAACTGGGTGGCAACGTCATGTGTATCGAGATGGAGGCGGCAGGCTTGATGCCAGATTTCCCCTGTCTGGTGATTCGGGGAATATGTGACTATGCAGACTCGCATAAGAACGGCATCTGGCAAGAATACGCTGCAGCCTCTGCGTCCGCATTCGCCAAAGAACTACTCAGTCACGTAGACTCGAGCGACATTCATAGAGAGAAATCAATACAGCTGATGATCCAGGACGGACTTACTCGAACGCGGTGCTTCCGTTTTGATATGGGTTCAGATAGCCATATGCTAATAGACATCGCCGCAGAATCTGGAAACATTGAAGCACTGAAAACCTTCGTGAATAAGAGCTCCAACCCCTTCGGCCGCCGCGTCGACGGGTCAACCTGTCTCATCAGGGCTGTGAAAGGCAGCAAGGTACGATCAGTCATTGCCTTGATACAAGAGGGCTGCGACGTCAACATGACAGACGTAGACGGAAGATCACCTCTTTCATTTGCAGAAAGGCACTCCGACGGGGAGATAGTCACGATTCTCCTTGACAACCATACCGTCGTCAATAATGTGGATCGTTGTGCGATATCCCCTCTCGCAATTGCGGTGGAGCTCGGGAACCTAGACGTCATCGAGATGTTTCTCGGGAGAGAGGCCCTCCTCGTCAACACGAACATTTTCATAGGGTGGGCCCCAGAGTTCAAGCAACTCGGTGGTCGCATGGTAAGGTGCAAGAGGTTCCCCCGAGAAAAAGATATATCCACAGAATTTTGTATGACGCCTTTGTTTCTGGCATCTGCCTTGGGTTTCACCGAGATAACAGACTTGTTGATAAGCTACGGAGCGAACCTCGACACCCAAAGGTCCGATGGACAGACTGCGATGACCATTGCGTCCAAAACTGGGCTTAAAGATATGATCAAGTTGTAGGTTGCCGCAAGTGCGAAAAATAGATCAGGAACAAGCGCGCAGATCAAGAACGGCAGATGAACTCGTAGTCGATGACACTTGGCACTGGGTCTTTGGCGTGATACTGCCTTACGTGCTTCTGGGATGGTGATCTCGTCTGTCGAGCCGGTTTCCATATGTAGCCCCTAAAAGAATCCAATTACACTTCCGGCACAATTGCTGCCGACTTGACCTTTCTGTCCACACCACCAGTAGAGTCGACCCTCTCAACGTCATCCGCATCGGTAGCCTCAATGATCGTGTTACGATACGCCTCTCGCTTCGGCCTGTTATGTGTGTCAGAAACTGTTTCCAATGTTGCAGAAGAGACAGGGTCTTACAAGAGGTACTTGACATCAATGTACCGAAGCACGCAAGTCATGATGATGACGAGAACTCCAATGGCTACGGATGACTGCCAGGCATACTTGTCTGTAGAGCGTCAGCGAGTGAATTGTAGATGAGAACCTTCCAGACTTACAATAAGGAGCCTGAGTAGCAGGCCAGACGAGCACCTGGGACCAAGCAGAGATGGCGTAGTAGCCGGCAATGGACACGCCAACAATCAGCGTTCTCGCCTCGGGGTCTTGAGGCAAGAGATCGGCCAGCCACGCGAAGATGAGAGGAGCTGTGCCCATGGCTGTGAAAGTGATGAAGTAGCTTGCGTAGGCGGTTCCGATGGGCGTCGTCGTTGGGTGTGCTGACCATACACTCATGGCAATGCAGACAGCAAGGCCAATGACAGCTGGTCCATTGTTAACATGTTGCTCGCAAAGACACTCGGATGGTGCTTACCTTGGACGACGATGAGAGTCCATCTCGTCATCAGGAGGTCGGACAGAATAGCCCAAACCCAGACTATGCCTCTGTTAGTTCCAAGGCCCGGACGAGGTTGAGAGACCGCACTGACCGAAGACAACGTTGATCGCACTACCACCGATGGGAATGGCGTTCACCTGGTCAGTCGACCACCTGGCACTGCCGTCCGCGTTCTTCAAGCTCTTGAGGAACAAGTTGAAGTAGTTGTTGCCGTACGTCTCGAGAACCGTCGCGATATAGAGCACGGGCAGGAAGTAGATGACCCAGCTCTTGAATGCGCGTCTTCAGACCGTTAGTCATTTCCCTTGACGACTGCTTACAACACATACCTCGTGGCGGCCCAGGTCATCTTCTTGGGCTCAGCCTTTCCGTGGCGCTCCAGTCGCTCCATAGCGAGCTGAGCGTGGCCCTTCTTGAACCAGAACGCGCGAGGGTTGGGGTTGTTTGGCGTGTCAGGCAATAGGAAGAAGCCCATGGCACCAACAACAACGGTCATGATGGCGTTGACAACAAAGAGCCAGCGCCAACCGGGGAGGCCTAGATTCGGCGTCAGTATCGACCGAAGCTATCCCGCAAGCAGGATGCACTTACCGTGTAGTCCATGCATGGAGCTTCTGATGGCCACTTGCAACGCTCCCGACATCATTGACCCGACAGCTTGGCACGAGTGGTAGAACCCCATGCGCTTGGCCAGCTCAGACGGCGTGTACCAATGCATCAGCAACGTCATCATGCCAGGCCAAGCGGAACTCTCGCAGAGCCCGAGCAGAACGCGGAGGACGTAAACCTGCTGGGCGTTCTTGACGAGAGCAAACATGCCCGTGATGAATCCCCAGCAGACTTCAAGACCGGAGAGCCAGTAGCTCGGGCGCACGTAGGTCAGGATGACTTGCGAGGGGATGAGCATGATGCAGTATGCGACGTTGAAGTAGGTCGTGAAGCTTGAGTTGCCAATCAGTCATGGTGTTGCAGTCCAAGTTCGCAAGTGCGAAACTCACTAGTTGTACTCATTTCCCTGGAGGTTGAGGTCCTCCTTCATGCCAGAAACGTACGCATTGCTGATGTTGGTTTGGTCCAGGTCTTGGCGGATTGTGTTAGTAGCCTTCAGTTGAATTGAATCGATCGCAACTAACACTTGATGACTGCAACTCTTATTAGTTCAATCCAAGGCGCAAAATAGACCCGAGGGCTCACCTTGCGAAATGCACCCAAAAGTCATCAAAAAGATATCTAAACGTCTCACGAGTTTTGCTTCCTCCGGTGTGCGCTCATGGCGCGCCGCAAAGGCAAGATTGCCGAGGTTGAACAGGCCCATTTCCGTTCCGAGAGGATGAGGGGTTGGCCGCGGAGTGCAGGAAGAGACAGAGCAATTGTTGGCTCACGAGAAAACTGATTCAAGGCGTTGCCATCCTATTATACATGTCTCCCCCGCAAACCGGTGCTGAGAGTAATTAGATAAGGTAAGATAGGCTGCAAGCAATCTTTGACCGCATCGTTTCCAAGGCTCTTCCTATCTTGAGAAGAAAACCCCCGGCCAACGTCCCGGTACCGTTATCAATGGGTAATCACTACCACGCGTTGATCATGTGGAGGTTGCAACTTCCGGTTAAGAGCAGAGTTGCATTGCGCGTAGCATGGAGAGAGCACAGGCCCGCCCCCTCATTGGGGCGGCCAACGCCGCTCACGAGTCGGCGGGCCCTCCGACAATGCATGCCCCGTACGATTCGTCGATAAGGTCATGTGAGGCGCTGGTGCTGACTCTTTGGCCAAATTAGACATGTCTTCTCCGGCCTTTTACAGTCGGATTTGACGCGTTAGCTTCCGTGGTGGGTACGGGGAAACGAGTTGACGGTTCTCAGTGTTGCATATTGGCGAGGGGCGGTGTTTGCCGCTCAACAAGCGGCAAACCCTCCGACTTTCGGGGTTGCCTCTCACAATCCCGGTGGACTGTATTATCCCTCATCCTGGGGTTCGCTTCGCAACTGTCAAGATGTGCCTTTTCTTATCAATCCATTTGCTGAGTGACGAAAAGAGTCGGCATAACCCGCTTGCAGCTGCGATGGCGGAAGATGGCCGCTGACTGACGACTAGAGTTCGAGATCCGCGTCGCAGCAATGATTTAAAGTGTGTCCTAGGTTCTGCTCAATAGCTGAAGAAAGCCCAAACACCAAAGCGCAGAGAACCAGCCTCACCACAATGACAGGCCTCCCCGTCCCAGACCCCTGCATCTCGTTCTGGCAGCAGACGACCAGATCGTTCCCCTACCTGAACCACAATGACCAGCAGCCCGTGCCGAAAACTTCTAGATACGTCGTCATAGGTTCCGGGATTTCGGGTGCCTTGACTGCCTACAAACTCGTCGAGGGCGGTGTATCGGGCTCGGATATTGTGATCCTCGAGGCTCGGGAAGCGGCCAGCGGCGCCAGCTCTCGCAACGCAGGCCATGTCAGGCCGGACGCCTTCCGCGGCTTCACGACTTATAAGAAGCTCCACGGCGAAGAGCAAGCGTTAAAGGTCATCGCCAACGAGAGGGCCGTCTTTCACGCCATCGACGAGTTCGTGAGAGAGCACGGCGTGCAGTGCGATTTCAACCCCACAACCACCTTCGACGTCTGCTTGACGCAGGAGTTTGTCGAACACAACGCCCAGAGCCTAAAGGAGTACCGGGAAGCTGGTGGTGATATATCACACATCAAGTTCTATACTGGCGAAGAAGCAAGGGAGAAGACCGGTGTCCACGGCGCCCTGTGCGCATACGAATGGCCGGCGGGGTCTAGCCATCCTGCCAAACTCGCGCAATGGCTGCTGACGAAGAGCATCGAGAGTGGTGTACGATTCTTCACTCATTGTCCGGCCACGGCTGTGGCCAAATCGCAGTCCAGCGGAAGTGAACCAAATTGGGACGTGCAGACGCCCCGCGGCACCATCGCAACTGTCACTGTGATTCATTGCACCAATGCGTTCGCGTCGCATTTGCTGCCACAGCTCGCTGCCTTCGTCGCGCCGGAACGCGCCCAGGCTCATGCTTTCGTACCACCGGCGGCACTCACCGGTAGCAAGATCCTACCGAGTACGGTATCACTGAGGCATGGGCTTCGGCACTTCTACTCGGTCAACCAACGTCGTGCGGATGGAATCATCATCTTGGGTGCGGCTGCAGCGAGTCCCTTCGTAAGCGAAGCAGCATACACAGCCAAGCGAACTTCCAACGACCAGGCCATCAGCGAGGAGATTCGTGATGATTCGGTGGCAAACTTCCAGCGGTGTTTTGCAGAATGCCGGCCGGAGAACCTGAGTCGAGGTGAGGGACTACTTCACGCCTGGACGGGCATCATTGGCATGACCCCCGATATAGTGCCGTTCGTCGGAAAGGTCGACGGATACCCGGGTCAATGGGTGTGCGCCGGGTTCAACGGGCACGGTAAGTCCCCTCCATCATTGACGCGATAATCGGTTCTGACGAGAGAGTAGGCATGGCGCGAATTTTCACCTGTGCGCCAGGGTTGGTGAAGATGGTCCTTGGTGGAAGCTGGGAGGACACGGGATTGCCAGAGTGCTTCGAGATGAGCTCTGAGCGGTTGGAAAAGCTTTGCGGGGACCGTTCAATTCAGCCTTCCAAGATATAGAGACATTGTAGATAGCAAAGAGCTTGTCCACGAGTGAAGATGGAGGCAGTACATTGCATCAGGCGTTGGTGGTGTCGGTGGCAGTTGAATGAGGTGACATAGATGCATGTCTCGGCCCGTTGGTCGGAGGGAAACCGCTTCCCGCTCTCTCCCTAGACGCGCACGGACGCCGAATGCCCCTGCAGCCTACGACCCCGTTTAGCGCAGGCGGTGGCCACCATTTCTTGTCTCCTAATGGCAGAATTTCCAGATTTTTGGTCCATCTCAATCAACATCTTGACGCGCCTCATATCCTCCAACCCCGCAAACCATCTATCGACAAATTCACCTGCCCGTGACCGCTCTCAAAGCGCACGAATGATCCCGCGTGATCCGTTACTAATCGCAGATACGTGAACAACACCAGCATCATCCACAATGTCGAAGAACTTGGCGCCGGAAACGCCTCCAAGCAGAGGAATCTCCTCTCGCTTGTTGACGATGAAGTTCATGCAGAGAGCTGCTGCGAACGGATCTCCAGCGGAATCATCTCCCGACGAGCCTTCCTCAAAGAGGCGCAAGTTCCAGAACTCTCCTCTCACAGGAGACTTCCACTCCTTCGACCAGGCGGCTGTTCAGGCAGCGCTGAAGCAACAAGACGCCAAGCGGTTGGCCGCCTTGGAAGCGTCGAGAGCTGAAATGGCGGACACGCACTGGGTGCTGGACGGAAAATGGGGAAAATCAGACAATGCGGAAAGTGCGCCGCCGAACATTGTGTACGTTGGATACGCCGACATTGACGGACCCGACGAAGACGACAACGAGGAAACCATTCAGCAGGTCGGACGAAAGAAGATTGGAAACGCCAAGAGCAATAACGCAAAGGTATGGACGAGGAATAGCGTTGAGGTACAGCAGCTAACCCATGTACAGAAGCCTACTGCTGCAGCCACTTCCAAGGATGACAGCGACTCGAGCGGCTCTAGCGATTCCGACGAATCCAGCGACGACGACTCAACCTCGGGCGACGAAGAAACGCCAGCCAAATCGAAAACCCAGCCTGTCAAGGGTCTGTCATCCGGCGGCCAAGGACGCACAAGAGTAAACCTCAAGCCGAAGAAGTCGTCAGAGTCCGTCAAGGCTCAAGAGTTCCGGGACAAAAGAAGAAAGAAAGAAGTGAAGTTGAACCAGTTGTCGGGTATTTCCAACAACTTCACAGGCAGCCCGGGTGGCGGCATTTCTGGAGCTAGCAGATCGTCTACAATGCCTCTGAACATGAAATGCCACAACTGTGGCAAGGCGGGCCACAAGGTGGCAGACTGCCCGACGGCACAAAGGTCCGGCAAGCGAAAGTCATTCCAGAGATCCTGATGACATTTGCGTATGCCAGCGCAGCCGTTTCGTTTCGAGATACCCTTTTCGCCCAAGTCGGGCCCTCTTCCAGTTCCCCAGTTCCTTCCCGCTTGATGGGGTCATAGTGAAGAAGTAAACCACATCTTGCGAGATACCAGCAAGGATTTTGCGTGTGGAATCACATTGAACGACAAGATCACACAGAACGCATCATGACACGATGCCCTACGTAGATACGCATTGCGTACTTTACCGAACCAGTCCTGGTTCGTGTTCGTACAGCAGTCTTAATGGAAGAAGAACACTTTTTTTTTGGGCATGGCTCCATCGTTTTCCTCGCAACGTGACCGTCGAATGGCTTGGTACTTACACAGGACAATTTTGCGAAGAAAGAAAAGGAGTAACAAAGCTGGGAGGGCCGGACTGACATGCGAGGGAGGATCGATGCCGTCCTTTTTCTAGCCGACACATTCACCCGTGATCTTTATTGAAATGAGGAGACTTGCAGGAAGTGAGGCCGGGCGTGGCAGCAACTGGCTCCGAGTGTCTGCGAAACCTCACAGGAAGCAAACGCTTCTGCGCAACCTGGAGTTAAAGCGGGATCGAACGAGCAATGTCCACGTTGTCTATCCGGTTCAATCCCGCCCGCACAGCCAAAAGACGATCCCGTCGCACCATCTGGAGATTCCGTCGATCCAGCCCGTTACCTCGCAGCCAATAAGCCGGCTCCAGTTGCCGATGACAACACGAGAAGCACCGCCAACCCTGCCGGCACGTTTCCCATATGTCGATGGAGATCTAGCAGGCAACACATCGATCCCCGTTCCTTGGCTGGCGTCGGGCAAGGAACCCGTTCCGCATGTGAACTGTCGATCCTCTGAGCGAAGCCAGCAGCTCGCTTAAAACGGCAAGATGGGAAACTCTGGGGGATCTCATCCGGCGTCCCGGCAAACTTCGACTTGGGACGGCAGGCAGCGAAGGTCTCACAATCAGAGTTCCCGTCTGCTCGAGGCAAATTAATGCATGGAGCAGCAAGAACCTCATGCGAAGACGGCTCCACTGCAACTAAAATGAGGAAGCGGCATATGCTATCATCCATCAACTGCGAGCGCGCCAGCCGCGCAATCATGATTTCCAGTCATGAACTGAGATCTGACGTTGGCGGATGATGGACTCGAGCTCGTGCCACAACCCTGTTTGGCGCGGCGCCTCGAACCGTTATTGTGTCATCCCATGGCGCACACCACGGATACTCTCCGCCTGCCGAGCTGCAGTGCGATGGATGACCGAAATGGCAAGCGAAGTTCGAGTATCAAGCGAAGGCACAGGCAAACATCGCTTGTGCGACGAGTCAATATTGGCACCCTCCTCGAGTCCTCTTTCGAGGCGGATAAGGTGGTACCCTCCCTGGATGGTACCACGCTGCGGTTCATATCACAGTCGCAATTTGTAGGAAAGCCCTCGGCGTCATCAACAAGCCAGGATTCGAAATCGTCCCAAGGACGCGCAGACAAGGAGGTGGGAGCAAAAGTCGCTTGAATCCCTCGCTTCGATGGTGGTAATCTGCCCAAGATTGAAGACTGATATGTCGTCGTACAGCGCGGTTGGGCAGGTCGCGCGGCCGCGGCTTCGATCCACGAGGTGACGAGGGTACGGATGGCGCACTACCGACCGTCATGCTGCTACGGTACTGCTATCGACAGCGACCCCCGGCACCGGTTTGAAACGAAACAGTGGGGTTTGTTTGTTCTCTGTGGATGGAAATCCCGCGCTGTCGGAACACGGGTTCCACTTTGTTTAATTCAGCTGTGAATTTGGCGAGGTTTGCTGCAGACCTTTTGCTCGGCCAATCTATCAAGACCCCTGGCGACAACCGCTTGGCTATCGAAACTCCCGGGACGGCAATGTTTTCCGGACCGGTCTTGAACGGCCCCGAGGCCCGTCCAGAGTGGAAAGTGCTCGAGTGGAACCGCCGAGACTGTGTCCGGGACAACTGGGGCTCGCTCGCAGGGCACTTCGTGCTCGGTGCGTTGTGGTCGTCGTCGACATCGTCGGCACTGGATACGCTAGATGCGCACATGTGGTGGTTTGTGCGAGCACGTTTTCCGATGTTCTCTCCTTGGGAATCAACTCCCCCCCCCTCCGATGGAGGCTTAGACACTGAGGAGAACCCACGAGGATGAGGTGCAGCTGAAAATGTCTAAGCGTTTGGAAAGCAGGCATTTGATGCACGTAATATCGTCAAACCCGACCGGGAACGGTGCAGTTTTCCTATTGAGGGTAGCGTGGGTGCATCGTCGACAACGAGCGAGGCGAGCGGGACGTACGGCCCTGGGGGCAGCAGCAAAACCGGTGTGAGGGGTTCAGAGGGAGGGGACTCGCGTCGGTTTATGAGGAGCGGCAGGCAACCGGGCGGGTTGGGTTTCCCAATGAGCTACAGCTGCGAATGCCATACAGCGGTCAAGGACCTCGACGGGCGGCGGCGGTCTGCGCGGTGGGCAGGTGTCGTGTCTGTTGCGGGTTCAACGAACTCTCAAAGTGGGCAGCGAAGCCGGAATGACTCGTCTGGCTTCAGGGAGGACGGGTTCGGCAGAGCAGGAACGGCGGCGACGACGACGATCTGGAGGGGGCCCAGCACTACCGTCTACGCCCGCTGGCCGAATCATGGGCTCCCGGAGTATTTTCCGATCGACGGCGCTTCGTTCAGCTCGTCTACTCCGGACACCCGAACGGCGCCAGCCCGGACCTAGAACGGGGCTATCGCAGAAGGCATGGTTTTAAGGTTTGTGATGGTCGGCATGACTGCAACGGAAGACTCATGGAAGCGAGGGCGGGCCACGGTTACATGGGCTTGTCTTGTTAGTGTGCAGTGCAATCATGTGTGCTACCTACATACACGCAGCGAGAGGCGGCTAGGATGGAAAGACTGTGTGGGACTGGCGGCAGGACTGCTGCTACTGCATGGCCAAGACCTCCGAGATGAGAGCTGTCATATGCGGCAGATATCGACACCGTCTTGGCTTCGGGGAGACTCATATAGCGGAAATCGGCCGCCGGGGAGATACGCCTTGCTCACAGACTTCTTCGTCAAGATTGTCCGAGTCCGCACAAAGGTCGATATCGAAAAGAGGCATCCAATGACCTCGGTCAGAGACCCCGGGATGTGGGGGCTGAAAGTTGTCTCGTCAGCTTCTGCTCCAGCAACATCTCACAGGAATGCAGCGACGAGACGACGATCATCTCGCTCTAGGCCTCAACGAGATGACATGGAGGCAAGCAAAAGGTCTTTTCTCCTCTCTCGATGGAGCTGGCCCGCAGGGCAGGCAAGTGTGTTGGATGGTGCATGAGAGAAGCATGGCATCCCGCCAGACGGATCCAAGCCGAGTCGCCGGAATCCAGGGATGAGGATCCGCACTGCCGTGCTAAAATAGTAAACATGCGTAGCCTGTTGCTTTGAGCATCAGCCAGTCATTCAGTGAGCCAAGATGTAAGCAGATGGGCACATGGGGTACTGATCGAAGGCTCTCAACCTCCAAGTTGCTACTGGGCTTGACCTGAGCCGGATTTTGATGCTAATGTGAGGCATCAAAGTAGCGTGGCAGGCTAGGTTCGTCCACTGCGAACAGCAGCACACCGGCCGCCAGCCCATGCACGAGGGCATCGGCGTGATCTGCCTACACTGCCGGATTGCCTCAACAGGTCAAGCAAATGAAACCAAGAGAAATGGTTGTCTCCCCGAGCGGCGTTGTACATGAGTAGTGTGCAAACATTGGAAGTGGGTGGAAGGTGAGGATGGCTTTTACGGCGAAGCTGGCAAACCGTCTCGTCTCAAGTTTTCGTCATCTCTATTGGGTGGGGTTCAAGCAAGTCAGCGCAGGCCGTTCAATTAACCTTGACAAGCAAACACATTTTTAGATATGCTTGGCATCAAATGACTACACTCCGTTGTATGTGAGTGTGTCTGTGTGCATGCAAATGGATGTGTAAGTTTCGGTTTGCCTCCTCGAACTTGACGCTTTTCTCAGCAGTTGACTGCATGTCCACCTTTCCTCACGTCCATACTTCATAGGTCGTCGGCCAGCAAGCCAAAGTCCGAGCTTGCTTTCTTTTTCTTGTCCTCCCATTCTCTCGTTTGCTTACTTGCTCGCAACCAGATTCCCGGGAATAAATTAGAAACGGACCGGGGGACCTCAATTTCTTCTACCCTTCCCGAAGCAACTGAAAAAGAGTCCCCTGTCTTCGCTTTATTTCTTTTTCGGCGCTGACACCCGAAACTGCAACATCCCGACTCGTCTCCCCTGTCACCGCCTTGCAACACGTTTCTCTTCCTTTTCTCAATCTTCGTTGCCTCTCCACCAACAGCTCATCCGGGGCGGAAGCAAGGGTGGACGGATCCCCGGGTATCAAGTTGTTCTGTGAGGCTTTCCTTTCGATGGGGGTGGGAGGCGCTCGGGTGTAACGTGTCAGTAGTACACAATCAGCGACTCTCACCGGATTTTATACCCTCCATCATCTATATCAGCTATTGCCAATCTTATTGATATAACAACTCATCAGCGAAATTTGCCATCAACCGGAGCCAAGAGAATATGCCTGAGACATCGGGGACCCGGATGATAGGGTGACTCAAATCACAGGGCAAATAAGCACCGGGGTTGCCCATCTAGACGGCGGACGGCGGGCCAGCCCGCGCTACGTCTAATAGCCTTCCCATTCCCCGCCCCTTGCCAGACGACCAGCGGGACGCGGTCCATGGGCGAGCGAGAGCAGGATTGACATTGGAGTACAGGTGAGGCAAGCCCAGCCAAGGATGATGGAAGGGACAGCCCCGACAAGCCAGACCAGTTACTTGTGAATGCGTGTGTATGTGTAAAGGCCCCTGCCGTCAAACATTCTTTCTTGAAACCCCCCTTGCCGCCCATCCTTTCCAAGTTTCCCCAAGCCCGGTCCGCTCCCGTCACTCCGCGCCAGACAATTCCCAAAAATCCAATCAAATATCGTGCGGTTTTGAATGTGTTATCATCCCACAATTGCGAAGATCCGGGAGCGAGACAAGACCCTCTCCAAGGTATTCGAGATCGGAGAGGGCATTGCCCCTTCAGAGTAAACTGCCCGAGCAGCAGCAGCAGGCACTGTTGCGGCATCTTCCAGGGTTCATATTCCTTCATAACGGGGGATTGGGATTTGTCAACGTGGCTACCTGCCGGCACAGCGAGATCTGAAGGGAGTGCAAGTGATCTGTATCCATTTCTCCCAAGTACCTTGAACAGTCGTGCCCGCTTCAGTCTTCTCCCCTGGGCTTGTTTGGGGTCTCTTGTACCCACCACAATGCTGCACATGTGCGCTGGTCGTTTCCTGGGCCCTTGTACGTCTCCGGGGCCGTCCCCCGTGTCGTCCACTCGCATGCATTCTCCTCTCCGACGACGACCGACCGCAACACATCCGACTGACTGGCAGTGCGAATCTTTGACATCAACGTGGTGCGCCGGGTCCGGCCCCCAAATGATCTCTGCTCTCTGACATTAACAAGCCGGTGATATAACCACCAAAAAAGTAGCGGTCCCAGTTATTTTTCACTTGCCGTCCAGCCTGTCCCTCCTCTCTTCGACTCAACGACCAGCCCCGAACTGCCACAATGGCATACAGCACCGCACTGCGTTTCAACCTGACAACCGGTCTCTTTCCACGTGGAGCTATGGAAGTCGGGGTATCCTGGCGCCATAACAGCGCACCAGGCGGGATGGAAGGGGCGGTCAAATCGAGGGTCTGAAGATTCGCAAGCGACTCGCCTTCCCTCCCCCTCCCGGCCATCAGCGGGGGTTTAGACGTGGACAGGCAAGAGACGGGATGTAAATTAGGCATTTCGGTTGGACTGCCTCATCTCCAACCTCAAAAAAGAAGCTGAAGACGGAAGGTAACGGTGAGGCAGGCATGTTCGTGGTTGTCGTGGCATCTGCAACCTTGCCGGGGGCCCATGATATGTAGGGCGAATATTGCTACCGTCGGTCGCGGTTAAGCAGGGCAATAGTCACGACGAACTCCATGTTCACGGCCAGACGGCAGACGGCTCGTCACGGCAGGAGAGCCACTGTATGTTTCAGAGAGACCTCGTCGTCATCTCGCCCTTGACATCAGTCATACAAGGGAAGTAGAATCCATGAGACATGCGGTGGTGCGGTCTTCTCGGTAGGGCCGCAGCGGCGACATTAGCGCGAGTCTGGCGGCAGTAGCAGCACGGGAACGATGTTGGAATCCGGTGTTCGGCGTCGTCGCAGGCCTCTGACGGCGGCTATCGGCTTTGTTGATGGCGATATTGTTGTTGTTGTTGTTTGTTCTTGTAGCCTCCTATCTGCCGGGCAGTCATTGAGAGGAATGAAGATGGATGGATGTGAGAGAGCGACTGACGGACTGCCGCAGGAAACAGGCAAAACAGCATCCGGATGGAGGGATGAAGGGAGAAGAAGGGCCTGGAGCCACCCCTACAGGCTACAGGGACCCTCGCGAGAGCAACAGCGTTCCAGCGATCAGCAGCCCGTCTATCCGCTTTCGTCCATCGTTTCTGGAGACCGTCTGGCTGGTACCCTTGGGTCGCACAGCGGTAGCGTCCCTTGCGTCCCCACGCCGAGCACAGACCCTTCTTTCCATGAGGAGTTCTCTTGCAGTTGCAGCTGCCCTGGCCGCAGGTGCTGGGTGTTGCTCTGCCTGCTTTCTGCCGTGGCTTCTGTTTCTGCTTGATGCTGAGGTGCTTGCTGATGCCGGTGCGATGGCAGGAGTCAGTAAGGTACTTGCTACTACCAACGTGCAGAGCAGACCGGACTGCTCCTGCCAGTTTGTCATGTCCAGTCAGTGCCACTGTTCCTTCCGCGAGATGTGTTTCCATCTTCCACGGCCAAGATACGTACCTGCTTGACTGGGTGCTTGACTGAACATTAGCACCAACATCATCATCATTAACAAACCAAGTACCTACCTTACCTTACCTGCCTACCTTACCTAAGGTACCTAGGTAACTAGGCACCCCGCCGTACGTACCTGCCTTACACTACGAATACCTAGGCAGTGTCACTTAGGTAGGTAGGAAAGAACATTCAGCTTCTCAGTGCGGACCTTCCTCCCCCATATCGTCCCTCTTTCCGCCACATGCCTGAGGCCCAGTCCCCCGCCCAAATCCCAATCTCACCTTAGGTAGGTACCTAGGTAGGCCCAGCCTAGCCCAGCAACAGCAACACAGCAGCGACAGCAGCAGCAGCAGCGCCAGCCAGCCGCAACCACGACCCTTCCCTCACTGCAGTACCTGTACCCGCTCGCCTCCCCTCCTTCCACTCCCCCCCTGCCCTGCGACCCGCGACCTGCGACCTGCGCACCCCGGCCGCCGCACGAGCACCCAAGCACCTTCCCGGCCGCTTCTTCGTCTTCCTCCACCGTCCGTCCCACGGCTGACACTTACACTCGCACACTACCTTACCTTACCTTACGGGCACCTCATCCAACCACTCACACTGCACCCGCCTCTCCAATCTGCCTTGCCTTGCATTTCGCTGCGGCTTGCGGGTGCTTTCTCAATCCTGTCGCAGCTTGCTCCAGCCTGACTGACTGACTTCGTTGCGCTGCATCTCATCCACCTGCGAACCCACCTCTTACGTGCCTCACTCACCTTTCCTCTTCTTCAAATCAACCCTCACCCGCTCCTTGTCATACCTTACCCTCCTTACCACGTCCACCTCTACCTACGTTCGCCCCAACGTCCCCTATCCTTCAAAAGTGGCGTTCCCCCACCTCACGTCCAGAGCTTTTGTCTTCTTCCAAAGTGCCAGGCGACAAGCAGCAGTCTCCCAAACCGTCCTGCTGCAGCCCCGTGCCGTACACTCCCTCCCACCCAACTGCATCTACCGCCACCACTGCACGAGGATCGGTACCAAAAATATTAATCCTACAACCAGCACCCTGACCCGAACACCTACCGCCATCACCGTCATTCACTCTCGACGGTTTAGGCACAACTCCGCCGACATGTCTGACAGAGAGCCCAGTGCCCGCGGTCCCAGGGACCTGGATGGCCCCCTTCGCGAGCCGAGGCCCCAGCCTATCGAGCGGGTGACGGATCAGCTCGAGACCCCTTCGCTCGACGACAGAACCTACCGTGTCATTCGCTTGTCCAACAAGCTCGAGGCCCTGCTGGTCCACGATCCAGAGACAGACAAGGCCAGCGCCGCCCTTGACGTCAATGTCGGAAACTTCAGCGACGAAGAGGATATGCCCGGCATGGCCCATGCCGTGGAACATGTACGCTTCTCCACACACACAAAGAAACCCCCTCGCAATCGCTTCCCTCGGCTGACAATTGTTTGCGCAGCTTCTGTTCATGGGCACCAAGAAGTTCCCTGTAGAAAACGAATACTCCCAGTACCTCGCCTCCAACTCTGGCAGCTCAAACGCATACACGGGAGCAACCTCCACCAACTACTTTTTCGATGTCTCTGCAAAGCCTGCCAACGACCAGGAGCCCTCGGCCTCGAACCCCTCCCCCTTCAAGGGTGCGCTCGACCGCTTCGCCCAGTTCTTCATCGAGCCTCTCTTCCTCGAATCGACCCTGGACCGAGAGTTGCGCGCAGTCGACTCCGAGAACAAGAAGAACCTGCAGAGCGACCAATGGCGACTGCACCAGCTTGAGAAGAGCCTTTCCAACCCCAAGCACCCCTTCTGCCACTTTTCGACCGGCAACTTCGAGGTTCTCAAGGCCCAGCCAGAGGCTAAG